TTGTCGTGATACACTAGAGCCTGACGTTAATTTTTAGCTTCATACTGACTTCCTGAAGGAATAATTTTCCATATTTGGCATAGTAAATTTAAAACCAACCCTACTCATGCTTGGTTCACTAAAGCATTGTTCAAAATGTTAAATTTGAAATATGTCCATAATTTTGCCAAAGCTTGAAGTTTTTGCAAACATGTATATACATCACACCAAGAACAGAGTTTCAAAAATATACCTGTGAGTCATTTTTTAGATTCATTGGCTATTTCAAAATGATTTTCTCTGGATATTCCATTTTTATATTTATCAGTTTTATTATCACTGTGGTAACATTTTCACTAGCCAACAGAAGAAGTAATGCTTAGGATTAGAATCCTTACCATCTTTCTCAAACATTGGCAAGACATTTTCCTGTGCCCTATAAAAATTAAATTGTTTCTTCAAGATTTGCTTATAGCAGCACTAGAAAATAAGTGAGTGTGAGTAATGAATGTACAGAATCTACTTTAAGACATAGTAATAGCTAATATAGACGAGGCACTTGATGTGTACCAAGATTTTTCTGTGTTCTTAACTTTCACAACAACTTTATGAAATAAATTCTAGCACTATTTCTACACTAAGTAAACAGAGATAAAGAGAGGTTCAGTGACCTTCTCAAAGTCACACAGCTATAACCAGCAAAACTGAGATTTGAACCCAGCAGTCTGACTTGCATCACTCCATTCTTTTTATTACGCTACATTAATGTAAAAACGTTATAATACTACTTGGCCCTCTTTCAATTGACTAACAATTCATGCATTGTGATCACTTCCAACATTAAGGCAGCAAATCAAATTAAGTTAGTATAGTTTAACATAAACTGAGGTCCATTCAAGTTGTTGGGTCTGCGTAATACCATAGAACAGATTTGTGTCATCATAGAGTAAACATATTTCAGGAAAATTAAAAGGAAAATGCTACATCTTTGGAAAGAATACATATTGAAAAGCATCATGTGTATTTTACAGTGTTTCACCACATCATATTTATCTGTATCCCCAAAATACATTAGTAATATTAGCTACTTGCTATAAAATGAGAGAACACATCATACTATTATCCAGTCCCAGCAAATATGACCACATACAATTCCAAATTTCCAATTAGATTTTGTTTCAAAAATTCATCTAAAAACAAAGATGGTATTACCTTGGACATTATATTCTACTCCATGCGGTGTTGGATTTTTAGTTTGGCAGAATGCTCTTAGAACACCATTCTGCTTCAACAGTTTCTGTAATACCGTAACCAAACTGTATAGCTATGCTACTACTGGAAACTCTGGAATAGCTTCTTCTGCCTTAGTCCCTTTCTATGCCCCTGATATCTGCCCTTCTCCAGTGAACTTGTAAGAGGAATGCTGAAGCAAAGGAGAAAGTTCATAGTTTAGAGTGGGATTCTCAGACAAACTCCTTGGTACATTCTGTTCCCAGTGGGGTTGCTGTTCCTTTTTATTCAGGGACACTTTTAACATGATTGTCTGACTATTCTTTCCACAGCCTTTATTCCTTCTCACTAGGCCTTTCCTCATTCGTTCCATCACATCTAAGGCCTTTCTACTCAACGTGCTGACTCCAAGGACAAGGACCACCTCCACTGGGAGCTCATGACAACATAAATCTCAGGTCCCATCTGAGCCCTCATGAGTCAGAATTCAATCTTAACTATATTCCTTGGTGATTAGGAGTGCAAATTTCAGAAATTCTGCCTTTCTACCCTGAAAGACTGCTACAAAAACTAGGGTGTTACAAACATAAGTTATTTAAAAGAATAGAGGCTTTGTGTTATTATTATTTACTTCTACCCTTCTCTTTGTCCCATTATGGAAAGAAGAATTAAAACTACAGAGATTAAAAAGGATCAAGGGGGCGAGGGAATGGGAGAGATAGGCTAATAGGTACAAAATTGAGTTAATGTTCAAATTTTCCAGTATCATCATTAAGGTAAAGTAAAACTTTTTTTTTTTTTACAAAATGGACTGGCCCAACCTCCTTACAGCAGATCTAGTCTACCTGTGACTCTCAGGCCTCACTGTACATTTAGACAGAGATCATCCTTTACAATATAGTGTATAGGACATAGGAATTCTGGAAATATGAGTGCCAGGACTTTGTTATGCCCTTCAATTTCCTGGGGCTTCATAAAGAAAAGTAGTCTGACTGAAGTTGCACCCATATGTGCCACAATATGATGAGAGACATCTTAAGTGGGAGCTCCTTAAGAATTAAGAATACTTTTGAGTCAACAGAAATTTGTTGTAAGAACTCATTCAGGTAATCATCTTTTTTCAACAATATGCTTGCAGACACCCCCTATTTATCCTTAATTGACTCTCACAGTCAGTTATTCAGCAGCCTGTTTCTTTCCCATGCTGGAAGTCTTCAATGTTGTCTGGCTGCTCAGGCAGATGAAGGAAAAACAAGTACACAATGGTGCCATGCCATAGCTAACACGATTTAAAACTGCACCAGTAGTGCAGAGAAGTAAATCCTTTATGATGGCATTTCTTTTTTCTTAACCTCCACAGTTAGAAAATTTTATAGAACATTTTTAAACCAATTGAATATTTATTATGCAACAATTTCCATGCTGTAGCAGGACTGAAAATGCATAGACTTTGAAAGTATATCCATCTATTTCGACTAGAAGCATTTTACTCATTTCAAGAACTGTTCTCATATTTGATGAAAAGAAGGAGTTCCCAGAAAGAATACTACAAAAAGTAAGGTGTTACAAACATAAGATACTTAAAATGATAGAAGTTTCATGCTATTATTATTTCTTTCTACCCTTCTCTTCCACCTATACGTGAGAAAGGAATAGAATCAACAGAGATTAGAAAGGGTTAGGGGAAAAGAGTATGGGAGAGGTAGGCTGGCAGGTACAAAATTAAAGTTAAAATGAAAGAATGACTTCTAGTAGGTAACTATAGTCAACAATAGTTTTTTGTGTATTTCAAGATGGCTAGAGGACAGGATTTTGAATTTTCTCACCAAAAAGAAATACTGAATGCTTGAGATGATAAATATACTAATTACCCTGATTTGAACTTGAAATATTATATGAATGCATTAGAAGAGCACAAAATGCTGTATTAGTGCATCAATAGTGATAGATAAATTAATTTTTGAAATAAAAATTCAATGTCAATGATATTAACGAGATAATATACCTGAAAATATGCACTTTTCTAAACAGCTATGGTGATCTACATTCTTTCAGACTTAATTTAGCATTTTTGCCACTTGAAATTGTGTGGTTTCGGTGAGGCCTTTCTCTGTGAGAGGATGGGAAACCCAGGCCCTCACTGTACTTAGGGCTTTCCCTATGCAAGTTTTTCTTCCTATGCCTTCCCATCTTCCACATTCCAGCTGATTTCTCTTGTCAGGACCCTTCCTTACCAATATCTGTTGGTGATCAGTAAACACTGAGCTGGTGGAAAGAGACCTTTCTCTTCCAATGTTCTCCTGACACCAGAGATGTAGCCCAGAATTCACGTTAGCTCAGAAGAGCTACTTACATCACACCATCCACAGATAACTGATAACCAAGAATGGCTCTATGTTCTCTTTTGCTAGTTTTTTTTTAATCCTAAGATTAAGAACAACTTAGTCCTTCTTCAAACCTACTCTAATTCCACGTCTCTTAATTTTGTCTCGACATTTCATCCTTAAATACTACTAGATTTTGGCTGGGGGAAAAATGTTTCCTAAAGCTCTGCATGTTCTCCTTAAAAAATAAACACAAACACATTTTAAAAAAGTAATTACTTCTTGAGTTATCTTATTTGCAAACAGAATACTTTCACCTCAAAACATTTGCAGGTTTCTATAAGAACATGATAGATAGATAGATAGATAGATAGATAGATAGATAGATAGATAGATAGATAGATAGATAGAAAGATAGATAGGTAGATAGATCTCACAAACACACACACATATGACATTATTTCAGCATTTTGAAATAATAGATCCACGTCTACCTAGATGGATCCATACAGCCAACCATAAATAGAACATATAACATAATTTACTACACTACATAATATAAGTGAACAGATTAACGTGTATGAATAAGTACAAATCTATACATATGTATAAAAACTAGGCGACTTCTATGGTATTATCAAGAGCATTAAGAAATACTGTGGATTTTATTACAGCCCTTTGTATTATTTTGTGCAGCATGAACTAAAATTCTTAGAGCCATGCAATTCATATGGCATCTGTGGGGAGATATTGCAGCACTGCAAAGTTCCTTAAGAAGAGAAGCCAGTATAAATACAAGTCAATCCATATGGTTTACAACATCCCAAAGCAATATTGTTCAAAGCCATTACTGGAAGACTAAACACATTTTCCACTTGTCACCTCCTTTTACAAGTTATGAACAAAGATCCAAAGTGATGATCAAGTGATACAGAAAATTATAGGTTGGAGTTACATTTGAGAGCAGCTGGAAAACACTGGAGCCTTTAAACAGCATCAAGCCTAGTTTTACACTAATAAAGACATAGGATGCTGAGAAAGTGTAAAACAAGTGAACTCCATTGACAAGTTTTAAATTTTTGTTGTTTTTCCTTGAAACAATTTAGTATGCAGATATATTATCAAAATATCATAAGCATTCATATATGTAATTGACTGAATTTTAACTAACTCTTGGCATTATCTCCTGATATTCTCTTGTTGAATACAGAAAAATAAAGATGCCAGTAATCTCATTTACTACTAAAATAATGTGATTTTGAATCATAACAGAAAGTAGTTTTAAACAAGTCACCAAAGATTTTTACTTGCCTTTGCTAGAAATTTAGATGGTTTCTTAGTATCTAGGGTTGGACTAGTCTTTTATATTTTTACCTTTGCTCACTATATTGCCCTACTCCATCTATAATCACAAAAATGTATAAATAAGTATTTTACCCATAGTATATGTACAAGTGTGATGCTTACCCCTAAATACAGTAAGATCCCATAGAACGTAAATCTCCAGAAAAAGCATCGTCGAAGGGCATGAATAAGTTTGGGATTGTTCTTTGAAGCCAGTTCTCTATCCCATTCCCTGCAAAAGAAAAAAAAAATGTAGGCCAGTGAGTTGCAGGTGCAAATATTTGAGTTGTCCTATTTTCCCCCAACATAGCTTGTTTCAAACAAGCATTATCCAAGGGTATTAACCCAAGTGATTAGAGAAACAAAGCCTTTTGGAGACCCTATAATACCAACTGCTCAACCAGATATTTGGCAGGATCTATAGCTCTACCATATATCACCCTGTAGGCCACATTGTGTGTGTTGAAGAAAAGTGCTGGGCACAAATAAAGACAAATGATTATGCATTGTTTGTGGTTAGCATAAAGTGAAAAAATGAACACATACATACAAAATGGTTTTTCCTTTACTATAGAATTATTATCTATTTAGAACTATGGCAGATTTTGCAATACTTAAATGTCAAATCAAAAACAATTGAAAAATATCAGGTGAATTTTTAAGTGATTTAATATGAGAAAAACTTAATAGGGTGTTTTTAAAAGAAGCACGAAATAAAAATTAAATTTCATTTTCAACTACTGGAATCATTCATTACAGGTATAATTTGGGGAGGGGAAGGGAAAAAATTGTTTAAATAGGTATACAGGTGGACCCATTGCAACAATGAGATGTACAAGATATTATGTCAAAAAACAAACTTTACAACTTTGGCCGGCATTACCTTGCTCATGCAATTATAATCCCTCTGTACGGTATCTTCACAATTAAAAAAATTATTAATAGAAAAAAGTCTTTGGCAAATGGCAAATAATAAGATTGTAGTAAGGATAAGATTTTGTAGTAAGGAAAGGCATAGAAATAGAAAGACCCTGAAACTGGCTGAAATCTAATACTGTTTACTTTTAAATAAAAGACATCAGCTGAATGTATTTAGTTAGTGCCACTGCTCTGTAAGTCATTTTCCTTTTCAACTTTTCAAAAGGGAATAAAATACCCATAAATGTTATCCTCATCTTAATTTTCAAATTATGCAGAGATGAAAACCTGAATAAACCACAGGTATGAACTACAGAATTAGAATAAAAGCTTTGCATTTCATCAATTACTATTCCCATTACTATCAAGTTACCACCATCACTCAGCATGGTTCGATGTCATTGTAAAAGGAAGAGTGTATAACTGAGATTTGAAGACAGGATTGGCAGTCTTCAGGCATGAAGGAAGGCTTTCTTTAAAGCTTGCTAAAAAAAAAAACTATAATGCCCAGTGACCTTTATCTATCTATAAATATATAAATATTTATATATTTTTAAATTTGTGCTCAGGGAAGTTTGTTCTCATAAATTATACTAAATCAAAATATGGTAACAAAATGGAGCTAAACCTGGAGGAGGACATCTTCTCTATCAAAGAAAGCCAGTAAAAGAAAGTGGACAGAAACCAAAGAAATGATTTCAGGTGGATAAGAGTAAGATAATATAGAAGAAAGACTTGTGATAGTATGTGTGATGAGAGGTCTTCAGTGACTCTGGTCAATGTCCTTTTTTTTCAGTGTACTTTTAGAAACACAGTAGTGGAAATCATATTCAAAGAGCTGAAAATTCAAATTCAAAGAGCTGAACTGGTACAGAGAAAGACAAGATTAGAAGAGACCAGTTTAAGTATTTTAACTGATTGTCACTGAAAAACCTAAGCCACATCATATGTCAGTTATGTATTCCGTAAATAAAAGTATGGCTGTTTCTCTTGAGCTAATAAACAATGTGTAAGGAAATACCTTTCCAACTTTTCAGACAGATTATCAGCAGAATCAGCAGAAGAGATCTGATATATGTCCAACAATTCTAGGCGCTGTCTATAGCCTTTCTTCAAAATTGGGCTGGTCCAGCTAAAATAGAAAGAACATATTTCAATATTCACTTGATTTGGTATACCACATAAGCATGTAATCCGATACCAATCAATCTATATTTTTGTATAGAACACATAGTATACATACACAAATATGAAGATAAAATAAATCAACTTATATAAATACCAGAATTAATTACTGGATTAACTAGAATAGATAGCTGTCTTTTCACTGGAGGAATCAGGAATTTGGTACAACCTGTCCTGAGAGACAAATATTAACTGCTAAACGAAAGACAGACATATACTCAATAGTATTCTGTAATTTTGGTACTATAGCACAGAGTACTCAATAATGTGTGCCAAGAGAATTGACTATAGGTATTGAGTGAGCAATTTGGGTTTATTATCATGTGTGAAACTTCCCTCATGGTAAAGATCATAACTTTGATCTCATCCCTGGCCATTGTTCCACAACTTGCTCTCTCAGCATCTAATCAATAGCAATGTTTAATGGAGATTAGTGAAGCTGGCATGGGGAATCATTAATCAGGATACCACAGCATTTTCAAATACTTTCCATTATATTGTTTCTCATCATTATAGTAAAGCAGAATAATCTTCACATAGACAAGAAAGTCCATAAAGAAAGAGGAAAGAGAAATGTGAAAGGAACCACACATACCAAAAATAACTTTCTAAGTGAAGAGTGACAGACTCTTTTCAGGTGAAATTTCATGTATTCATTGAAGAAAGAAGCCCTTGGAAGTAATTCTTAAGCCCATGAATTCTCCTTCAGCATCTTTATTTGCCCCAGATAACTCTAAAGTTTAGTGTTATTAAGAGTACTTGGTAATGTAGCAAGATGCATGTTGAATCACTGTAATTCATTTTCTGGGAGAAAAGATAAACTCAGAATGGGAACAAATACTCAAGCAAAGCCTTTCCAAATAACAGTAAGTATTTTGACATTACTCTAGGTCAAAATTTTGAAGATACCTTCATATCGAATCACCTCGCACTTAGGGTTCAGGTATTTCTTTAGATTTCCTGGATCTCTGGCTTTTCAGAAGGCCTATTTGCACAATTTGTCTCTGAGATTCAATTGACTTAAGGCCAATCTCTAACGTAAAGTAACTTCATATATCATTTCTTGCTGCAGCATTAGTGAGTGACTATGATTTGATATATCACTTTTTCCATTAGCTTGCAATTCATTTTAACAAGAGCCTTCTTTAATAAAGGATGATAAATAAGTTTAGAATTCATTGCCTGGTTTGACTCATTGGTCATTTTTCCTGGAAAAACAATAATGCACATCGATAAGGTCAGTCCTAATGCAGGAGAAAAAGAGGTGCCATAATCATGGCATGTATGTAGCGATCACCACATAAGGACCCAGAACGTGCTCACCACCCCCAGTATCACCCACAATATAAGAGAAAGTTGAAAAATATAGGTGGCAGGCTGAGAAATATCTGAGACAGCTATTTAGGATATGAGTCATTTACTTCTTGAGGCCAAGAAGTAAAAAGGTAAGGCAAAAGTTTACTACTAACAGAAAACTCTGTTCCTTCCAAGAGCTTTCACAATCATGAGAATGTTGTGATTTTAATCTGAAATCTTTTTAAATAGGTAGAACAAAATGGGATCATTATCCTGTTCTAATGATACGGTATTCAAGGATGTTTCACTTGTCTGAATCACTAAATGACAAAGTGTTTTTTTTCCACATTCTTCTGAGTTCTTTCTTTCCTTTTCCATGTTTAGCTTTTCCTACTTAAGAAAATTAAGCATAGCGGGTTGTGACAGATACATAGCTGAGATTGTTACCAAGAAAAAAATAAGTTTAGAAGTGGTTTAATCAGAGGGAAAAGCAAGTGTGCAAATTTCAAATGTACAAGTGACAGGAGGACCAGGACAAAGCTCGGGGTTCCAGAGAAGGTCATCTGTATAATTCTCCAGAATAGTGCAAACTGCTGATAAGCAGGCCCTTGTTCACATATTATTAGAAGAAAGTAGGGCCAGATAAGAGATTAGAAGCATCTGTCATTTTCAATCTGTAAATGAGAAGAACCTGGTAACACAGAAGTTACTATAAGTATTCAAATGTTATTTTGTTTTTTTTCCTTCATGCAATTGTTTCTATCATATTTATAGATGATTTCTATGTTGCTTTGTATATCCCTCCCCCACAGTATAACCCATGCTTTCACTGTATTTGATGTTGGTATAATTTGTGGAGGGAAAGGGAAAAAACAAATCATTTAACTAGGGATACATGTGGACCCATTGCAAAAATGAGATGTACAAGCCGTTATGTCAAAAAACGAACTTAACTTTGGTGGGGGGAGGGGAGGAGTATGGGAAGGGATGGGAAGGGGAAACAGCGAGGAGGCAACAATGTTTGATAAGAAATGTACTCCTTATCTTTCCCATGTAATTGTAACTCCTCTGTACTGTATTCTCACAATAAAAAATAAAATAAAGAACCAGAACCCACAAAGGAGATGGCAGGGGGACAAAAAAAAAAAAGAAGAAGAAGAAAGGGAAGGAGGGAGGGAGGCAGGCAGGAAGACAGGAAGGAAGGAATGAAGGAAGGAGAGAGAACGGGAGGGAGGGAGGGAAGGAGGGAGGGAAGAAAGGAAAGAAAACCAGTCCCCAGCACCCTGATTATGGGAAGGGAATTGAAGACTGCAATGCAACTGTAAACAGAGCATCCTACCAATGGAGTCCCTGCTCCAGATACAGGAAAAGTCCATACAATTCACAAGCCTTAATCCTGTGACAAGGATTTGTGAGGCCATGACCACTCCAGCATGTGATAAGTAAGGCTTTCTCTAGCTCCCCTTATCTCAGATCATGATTTCTTGAGAAAGTGCCTATTAGAGACTATGTTACTTTTCTTGACTGGGGATAGGGAGTGATAACAGCTCACTGACTTACAGGACATTTTGCCATAGAATTTGGGTATAAATCAATAAGAAGAAGAAGGACTTATGTCTGACAGAGCTCCCACAGAAAAATTTACACTATGGAAAGCTATACCATCAGTTTGATGTCAGTGGCAGCCTGGTAGCACCACATGATGGAGACTTAGGATTTCCTTTAAAGCCACACAACGGAGACACTGATGTGGCAGCCATTATATTTACAAGCAGAGATGGGTAGCTGGCACTGGCTACCATCAAAGGCAGCTGAAACAGCAAAGACAGGTGCTCCAGACACCTGGCAATGAAGAAGCCTTGGGAACACCTGCCAAGGCACATAGCAGAGATGCAATTACAGGCAGCTGAGACTCTGAAGGCATGGGTGTGGTAATTGTGGTTCCACCCTCTCTGGTCAAGAGAAAAATCTCACAACCTTAGTTGAGGACCCTTAAACGCTTAAATCTGAAGTTTGTTGAGTAATCACTGCCAGGGAACTACCAAGTGGCTCCATGTATTGCTTTCCTAACCTAAATCATAGTTTCTACAGACTCCTGAATACCACAAATATATATGTATATTTATATACACACCCATATATATGTATTATGTATATCTGTATATGTATTACAAATACATATATTTGTGTATATATGTAATACATATATATGAACACACATATTTGGCTTTATTACTATCGGATTGTTTTGGCCTTTTATTCATTTAACTATGAGGTTTTTTTCTGTATGTCTGCTATAGGCCAATTACTTTTTAGTTTTATATTTTAATATAGGTCATTTACTTTCATCCATTTACTTCTTAGTTGTGCTTCCTATTACAATTCTAGCTAACTAATGTCTTCTTATAGTATGAAAATACATCTTTGATTCTATATTCATCTAATGGTGTTGGAACAGTAGTCATGATTATCTTTCACTAGAGTTTTCCACAAACACACGGGTGTGGTTTATCATCTGCAATAGCAATTGTAGCCAGGTTTCCTCACTCTGTGTAGAATTCTGCATGCAGTGTCTTAAATATTGAAATTGATTAACAACTGAACCATACTCTACCAATCTAGTAACAGGAAAAAAACTATAATAACACAGACATTGCCCAGTCTTAAGTAATCTGTAAGAAATCATCAACTAAATTTCCACCAAAAACTGCTCTGATACACACAAATTACAGAGGGGAAAATAGCCATAAATTCATAAATAAGCAAGGCAACATGTCTCTCTCAAAATCTAACAACTCACAATAAAACATTTAAGTGATTGTGAAGAAGAAAACTAACAAAAAACAGTTTCAATAAAATAATGACAAGAGTTATCAATGAAATTAAGATGGTGTATAAACAGATGAATGACTTCAAAAAACATACAAATAAACAACTAGAGAATTCAAACAGACCAAAAAAATGACATAAAGAAGACAATAAAGGAATTAAATAGAGAGAAATCTTAGGAAAAAAATTCAAATTGAAATCCTGGAAGTGAAAATTCTAATAGCCTAAATTAAAAATAAAAACTAAGTTAAAGGTATAGCTAGTAACAGAACAAGTTAAAAATAGGCTATCAGAAGTTGAAGAGTGGAAGATTGAACAGTGAACGACATCAACAGCACACCATACCAAGAAAATATGAATGAAATTGAACACCTATACTCCATAAGAGACCAAACGTAAAATTCATAGGTATAGAAGAAAAGGAAGCAATACAAAATAAGAGCATTGAGAATCTATTCATTTAAATAATAACAGAAAACTTCCTTAACTTCAGGAAAGACAGGGTACTTAAAGAATACCAAATAGGATCAGAAAAGAAACACATGTAGACCCACTATAGTTAAACCCTAAATACACAGAATGGAAAAACACTATTGAAAGCTCCAAACAAGAAAAGACAAATTACATACAATTGCATGCCTAATCAAATAACAGTAGATTTCTCAATACGAACCCTAAATGCGTGTAAAGATATAATTAAGGTAAGTGAAAGAAGTCAGCCACAAAAGATGACATTGTTTTATTTATATGAAGTTTCCAGAGTGAATGAATTCATAGATGCCCAGTTGCTTAGGAGCCAGATGCAATGGTGCATGCCTACAATCTTAGCAACGTGGAATGCTGAGATTGGGAGAATCACAGTTTGAGGCCAAGGCAAAAAAGTTCACAAGACTTCACAT